ACTGCTCACAGGCTCTGGGAGACATAGCTCCGAAGATAGGCAATCGACGTCCTCCTCTCAGAGCGGTTCCCCATTGCCGGGGGCGCATCTGCGGAAGCTTGGCTCTGGAGTCGGTGCGTCCGCGTCGCCTGCTAAGCAAATGGGACCGAAGAAGCTGCGTGACAAGAGTGGCCGGACTCCTCTTGCACGGGCGTGTGCGGACCGGAAACATGATCAAGTGATGATGCGCCACGCGGAACGACCGGAAGACATTAATATCCCTGATAATGCAGGCAACACCCCCCTGCAGATCGCGTCGCTTGCTGGAGAAGCCGAAATCGTCAAGTTCCTGCTAGAGGCAGGTTGCGAGATTAACACTAAAAACATTGACAAAGACACCCCGTTGATTGATGCTGTGGAAAATGGGAATGTGGAGGTGGTTAAACTCCTGCTTGATGCAGGAGCAAACCCACGAACTGTGAATGCCCAAGGCGATGAGCCTTATGAGTTGGTTCCGTCCGATGTAGATGATGATGAGTATGAAGAGATGCGGAAAGCGCTTGCTGACGCCAAGGCCAATTTGCGGCCTGGTCGACGCTCAGAGGAACATACAAGACCAGAGAGCAAGGAGCCTTCTTCGCGACGGGCCTCGACAGCCAGAGGAACGGCAACTAGCCCCCGAGATTCACCTCCGATGCGCAGCCCCCCTCCAGTGGGCGCGGCAAATCGACGAAAGGGTGGACGAAGCGAAGCCACGAGAAATGACCTTCTGTGGACGAAACCCACGTTCGAAAACCTTCGAGAGTTTGCTGCCAAAGGCGACGAGGCTGGGGTGGTGAGCATTTTGAATATTTTGCAGAAAGCCGATAACGCTTCCTTGATTGCTGCGGCAAAGGGTGGCCACCACGATGTCCTTTCTCTTTTGTATGCGATGGGCAATGCAGATGCGGATCCAAACCCGTTGCGTGGTCAAAAGGCGGGTTACAACACGCCCATGCTTGCTGCGATTGGTCGAGGCAACAGCGCTGTCATTCAACTCATTTTAAATCAACCCGGATTCAATCCCACGCGACGACTGTTCGAAGATAGAACATATTATGAACTGTCTCGGGGTCGACAGGGCGAGAACTGGGAGGACGAGTATCAGATTCTGAAGGAGGCGTATGAAAGGTTTGCAGGTTCCGGCAAGGGTCGCAAAGACGATTCACCCCGCCGTGCTCGTGGGAAAGAGAAGGAGGAGAAACGTCCGCCACGCAGAGGGTCTTCCTCCCCTGTCGCGCGCAAAAAAATCAACACCAGCCCCAACGCCAGCAGACATCGCGATTCTTCGAAAGACATGGATTCAATCAAAGAAAAGCGTCGTCAAAAAGAACACGATTTATCACGACCAACGGATTCCTCTAAACCCAAATCTTCGTTATCCGCCAGACGAGATAGTGAGTCTAGCGGGATGACACCCAACGAAGATATCCGAAAGAGACGACTCATTGCTGGACGTCGCCCCCAGGAGCGTAGGCCAAGTCTCTTCTCGTCTGATTCACTCTCTGGACGTGAAGAGGCACCGAAACCGCGTGTTGATACTGCACCCGACAATACATTGTCTTTGAAGCGCATTCGTGCTGATGGATCCCCTGAACGATCTCGTTCACGTGGTACAGATTGTGATCGCTTATCTCCTGAATCGCGTAAAAAGAAGAGACGCGTTGTCTCCGAAGACAAGTCTTCCGGTGCTACACATGGTGCACCAAGACAACCTGATGATGCCAGCAAACCCCATCCTCGCCGACCCCACGAGGAGTCTACTCGAGCTACTGAACCTCAGCCACACAAGTCTACCGACGCCCCCAAGAAACCCCCACCCCGCCCAACTTCACCCCGTCATGATCTCGTTAGAAAGAACGGCGATACGAAAAAGGAATCGCACGAGCCTAGAGTCGACACCATGGAAGACACAATGGCTGCCGCGAAACGTATCGAGATTGAGGCCCATGAGCGTCGACGAGCCCAAGCCAAGAAGGCACAAGAGGAGCGTGCGGCGAACGAAAAGCGCATCGCAGACGAAGCCGAACGTGATCGACTTGTCAAAGAAGAAGCCGAACGAGTGGCGGCTCAGGTTGCCCATGACAAAGCCGAAGAGGAAGACCGCAAACGCAAGGAGGTTGAACAACGACGCGCCAAACAAGCCGAAGATGATCGTTTGAAGCGGTTGGAGCAAGAACGCGCTCGAGCTGCCAAAATGCGCCGCGATCAGGAGGTAGCAGAGCATCGACGCCGTGAGGCACTTCCCAGTCGACTTCGTGTTGCAGCGAACCTCGTGGGCTCCAATAATCCCCGCGCGAAAAGCCATGACTGGCTCAAGTCTTTCATGCCTCTCGTTACTGCTCTCACCCGTCAACTCGATCCTAGCTGTGGTGTGGATGTCGCCGACGAGAAATGGATTCCGAATTACCTGGTTGCGCCTCTTCTGGCTACCAATGATCTTCAACTTTCGCAATACCCCAGCTGGGAGAAGCGAAAGGCGACACCGACCCAACGTGTGAATCTGTGGCGCGTCACTCGTCGCATGTTGACCCACACAGACGATGTTGGATTCCAAAGCTCGAGCATTGGACAGATCATGCAGAAGGATTGTGACACGCGCCCCAAGTATTTTGAGATGGAACATGTCTTTTGGATCCGAGTGAGTTTTCTTGAGCTTTGCCAGTTATGCTCCGCAACTAACAACTATCTTAGCTTTCTGATTTCACAGACCTCGTCCCACACATCCCTCACCTGCACGGCCTCGAACTGCAGTTCTTGAACATGCACGTCGACCCGGAGCCGTCGACGGCTGGCGCAGGCCTTGCCGCTCCTCAACTCAATGGCCATGGCCCAGGATCCTCTGTCGAAACCAACGGGACCGGGCTCCTCAATGGTTACGGCCCTTCTCGGTCTAGTACATACGTCTAGTTTTGTTTTTAGCGTCTTTTCGCTAGGGACCCGGCGCGATGGCAGCAATCCAGCGAAACGATGTACAGGGCGGATTCTGATTGTACGATTATGATACCTCTTCTGTTCAGTGATGATTCTACTATTCTCAGGTAGTTTTACTGTGGACTTTTTTTTGTAGTCACTGTGGCCGTGAATGTAATCATGCGTCCCGTGTCAAATAACACCAAGTTTAACTTACCTTCCCTCATAAAAGATATAGACATTCGTAGCAAGGTAGAAAATCCTAAAGATCTAAAAGATTATATCAAAAGCATTAAACCGGGCTTGTTACATTCGCGCCTGTTCCAAGGTTCATTGTATAGATGTATAAACATATCACGTGACTGGGCTTGCGGGGACCGCATGACATAATCGTAGGGCACACACAGCCGAAAAGGTCGAAATAGCGGGAAATTTCAAGCCCGCCCGCACCACCTTTTAATTTCTTTCTCCAACAACTCTACTCTTCGAGGATCATCCGATTTCAAGCATCACAAGCAACAAAATGGTATGTTTCATATCTGCCTATTCTCACACCATATGCACAACCGCCTCGGATCTCGTCACGACAATTGAGACGCTGGAACGGACATGACCGGCGAGAACAGTTGTGTCGCCGCAGTAGAGAATACCCCTCGTCGGCCGTGCTGTATATGCGCTGCACCAGTCCAGTCCAATTCCAAGTCTCAAAAGTCACGACAGCGATTCAAGCAATGAACCCCTCGAAGCACATGATACTAACAATATTCCTCTAGTCGGACGGAGAAGAGCCCACATCCCCTATCGCCCCCGCCGAGGAGGTCGAGGTTTCTGCCGATGCCGGCAGCGGCCAGATGTCCGTCTTGGACGCCCTCAAGGGTGTTCTGCGCGTCTCCCTCATCCACGATGGTCTTGCCCGTGGTCTCCGTGAGGCCGCCAAGGCTCTCGACCGCCGTGAGGCCCACATGTGTGTCCTGAACGAGGGTTGCGAGGAGGAGGCTTACAAGAAGCTCGTCGTCGCTCTCTGCTCCGAGCACAAGATTCCCCTCATCAAGGTTCCTGACGGAAAGATGCTTGGCGAGTGGGTTGGTCTCTGTACGTTTTCCCCTCCATTAATACCAAATATCAATTCTGGAGGTGTATTTGCTAACTTTTTGTTCCTCAGGCACTCTCGACCGTGAGGGTAACGCCCGCAAGGTTGTCAACTGCTCTTGCGTCGTTGTCAAGGATTGGGGTGAGGAGTCCCAGGAGCGCTCCGTTCTCCTCAACTACTTCCAGACCGAGCAGTAGATTATCTCTACTGAGCGGCTGTGAGTAGCAGGTCTCGTTTCAGGCGTCGGGGTTGACTGGGGGTTTTATGGTGGGGATCAAAAGGTGGAATACATGAGGGATAGATCAATTGTCGAAACTACCAGCTCTACTCGGAGTGTACATACTCTCTGGGGTTGGGATTTTGGTTGGCGGAGCTTTGTGATATCTCTGGTCTTTTGAACCTATTATTTCAAATCACCTAGTTTATAGCTGTGTCCCGTTTACTCGGGTTCGCGGCGCCAATGGCATCTGGACATCATGTCTACTTTGACAAAAGATAAATTAGGATGCGGTAGCATCTGAGTGCCTTCTCGTAAAATGACCGGTCAGCTGGGTGCGTATTTTTTGTAGCGATCTTTCTACCTCATCTCACAAGCGAAGAATACCACATATCGCAACTGCTGTAGTCACAAGACATCACGCCAGCGTAAGCATTTAGCATATCGGGTCCTTGTCAGGAACCACAGCGATATGATCATCTCTATAGCGCTGTATACTTCAGGTAGGGCTGGAAAGTGGATCTTCTGAGTCAGCACGGATTTCGCAACTTCCCAACTTCCTAACTCCGATCGTGTTTGAAGGGACGCTCTGAGAGGGAAAAAAGTCTGTCGATTTTTTTTTCTTTTCAAAGGTTTTAACATTGGTGACAGGTGCTATTGCCATTATTTGTCATCATTGCATTAGGATCTAAATCTTTTTGAGAGCACCGTCTAATATCCTAATCCCAATCTAATTTCCCAATTCCGAATCCCACTTGGCACATGGAATCCGCTCAAATCCCAGGCGGGACCCCTGCGCCATATGGCCGCGCATGTATGAACTGTTCCCGCGCCAAGTGCAAATGCATTGTTCCTGCAACTGGTAGTGGGTGCGAAAGGTGAGTGGCGCTGCTAATGAGTGTGGAAATAGCCCGAACTAAGCACCGGGGTAGATGCCAGCGCCTGAGCAAGGAATGTCGGCCTGCGCAGACAGTCCGGAAGCGCAATAAGCCACTATCGGGTTCTAATACTGCCAAGCTCGAGGCCAAACTTGATTGGATTATGTCCGCGTTTGAGAAGGGTGGTGTCAAACCCGATATTCCTCCAAATTGGGAACCCGTAAACCCAGGACGGAGTCAACAGGATGACCAAAGCAACTCTGCATCAAGCACTCAAACCCTAGCTAATCTTTCTTATCTTTCGACTCCCGAGAATGGGCGGTACCTTACACACTTTGTACCCTCGCATGATAGGGAAATCTTGTCCCTGATCTACGTCCCGCCCGCCATTGCTCAGAAGAACCTCGACCAATTCCGCACTCGGAACTTACAATATCTCCCCTTTGTCTATATTCCTTCTAATATAACCTCTGACCAATTGCGAGAGAAATATCCATTCCTTTGGGTATGTATTATGGAAGTGACAACATCTACAAATTCAGAGAAAGGCGACTCTTTCGGAAGAATTACCAACTATATCCATCAGAAAGTTATGCTTGACATTGCGCCGAGCATGGATCTTCTCCTTGGAATCATGACTTTCGTATCATGGTGAGCAGAAAAAGCATCCTTATTAAAACCAACTTGCTCACTCCAATTCTTTTTGTAGCGTTACATATACTAAAAGGCCGTTTCTCAATGTCTATGCACACATGCTAATGGCAGTTGTTGCTGAGCTTGGGATCAACAAAAGTGAACCAAATGAGTATTCAGCCATGCATTCTTTCAAAATCGCCATTGGAATGAAGCAAACTCCCCCCACAGCTAGAACACTCGAAGAAAGGAGGGCGGTGCTGGGATGCTTTTTGATTTCATCAAGGTAAATAGTAAATATCCAAGATACTCTCTAAACAATAATTAACAGTTAAACCATCAGCGCCGCGTTGGCAATGTCTAGGATTGATGCTATGCGCTGGACACCGCACATGGAAGAAAGTCTTTCAATACTCGCCGAGGCTAAAGAGTGCCCTCAGGATGAGCTCCTGATTATACAAGTCAAGATCTATTTGATCTTAGATAGTGTCTATCAACTACGGCGGGATGGCGAAGCTTTTATCTCGCTAGCCTTCTATCTGGATACTTTCAAAAAAAGATTAGACACGGTGAAGAGCGAAATTCCGCCTCACCTCCAACAGCACAGTAGGTTTTTAGCGCTTTCCAGTCTCTACGGCCAGTACTAACAATACAAAAGGAGTCATACTGATGTATCTGTACAATGCCGAAATCATAATCAACGAACTATCAATAGGAGCTCCCGCCATTGCAAATTCGCCTGATCTCCATCGCCTCGACAGCCTTTACACCACCCTTCAAGCTTCAAAAGGCTGGCTAGATGTATGGCTAGAACTTGAAGGAGAGGAGTATTTTCAGCTGTCATGTATCATTTTTTTCCAATTCACCCGAGCCATTGTCACCCTGTACAAGCTCACCATTCTGGAAGACCCGGTATGGTCCAAGAGTATGGTCAGAGACACCGCGAATATCCTTGAATACCTGAACAGAAACGAGGCCATCATCAGAAAGTGCCCAGACTATATCACTTTCGACGAAAGCCGGGAAATGAATCTCCTCGAAAAGGGATTGAGAATGGTTCACGGCTTGAGAATGAACTGGGAACCGAAATTGATGGAAATGTGGGGCCCAAATATACCTGCGAACAACGGAATCGATAGTGGCATGATCCAATCTGATGCCATGCTCCCTGATGTTATGCCCCTGGGTGATATTGATGAGTCCTGGATGTTAGACTTCCTTGGGTCGTTATGAGTATTGGTCTGTGATGCCCAAATTGTGGTTAGGAAGTGAGATGGGGTTTAATAGCTTTATACATGAGATCATATACCCCAAAGTACTATTGTGACATGCTTGGAATCTTCCACAGATCTTCCAATCCATGGTCCGCACATCTGCAAGCTCTGCGACTACGAAGAGAAAGGTAGAACGTATTTTCTATCCACACAAGAGCAATGGGTCTACAGATTCCAGCACAAAGTTAGAATACGGCATTCCCCCCCCAGCCCCCCGCTCAAATGCACTTCAAAATTCACGCTAATGAAGCACTAAGACCTCGGAATCCCATGTGATTTTACGCTACAGGCCACTTGGCATAACCTTCAAATCATAACGGTTTGATTGCGTTTGAGAAATCCAGAAGACTGCCCGTTCTCATTATGGTATCTTGGGGTTTTAAAACGAGGGGTTTTGAAATAATACCCATAATCTATCTGGTGGTCATCGCTGTAAGTGTTTCAATTCATTGCATCTGAGTTATAATACTGAGAATATTCCAGCCACTAGGATATCTTTTGTGGACTGTGGTTTACAACCTTTACTTTAGCCCACTGTCGAAGTTTCCAGGACCGAAACTTGCCGCTTGCACCAATCTCCTAAATCTATACTGGACTTCAACAGGGCAGTATCACTATAAACTCAAGGAGCTCCATGATAAGTATGGAGATGTAGTTCGGACGGCTCCTAAGTCTCTTGTCTATCGCAGCCCACAGGCATGGAAAGATATCTACGGCCACCGCAAATCTGGAGCCGGGTCGTTCCTGAAAGACCCAAAATTCTACCTTCAGGGACCGAGAGGGCCAAACCTCATCAACGCCAACGATGAAGATCATTCAAGGGAAAGAAGATTGCTCTCGCATGCCTTCTCTGAAAAGGCCCTGCGCGAGCAAGAAGTCCTAATTCAGTCATATGTTGACATGTTGGTGGATCGACTGAAGGAGATAAGTTCATCATCACGAGAAGCAGTCGACATGTCTCAGTGGTACAACTTCACCACATTTGACATCATCGGAGACTTGGCCTTTGGCGAACCCTTTGACTGCTTACGGGAAAGCCAATACCACCCATGGGTCAAGATGGTCTTTGTGAGCATGAAAGTGATGGCATTATCACGACCACTTCTAGTCTATCCTTTTTTGGCACCGATTGTCAGGATGCTTCTACCAAAAAGGCTCAAAAAGATGCGAGAAGACTCATTCACCTTGGCAGCAAACAAAGTCCATCGCCGATTGGAGACCAAGGTTGAACGGCCGGATTTCATGACTTACATCTTGCGACATAATGATGATAGGTCCATGAGTATACGGGAGATGGAAGCAAATGCAGCTTTGTTGATCCTTGCTGGAAGTGAAACGACAGCCAGTCTACTCTCCGGGTTCACCTATTATATCATCGCAAACCCCTCGGCCTATCGGAAACTAGTGGATGAAATCCGAGGATCATTCAAATCTTATGAAGATATTGATTTCCAAGGAGTTGGACAACTGGCTTATCTGAATGCAGCACTCGAGGAAAGCCTACGGGTTTATCCACCTGTCCCAGCTATCATTCCGCGGGTTGTACCTAAGGAGGGTGCATTGATTGATGGGCAATTCGTTCCAGAGAACGTATGTCTCTACTTTCAAGTGTTATATCTATGTATATTGACTTAAACAGGTTTCTGTGTCTGGGGCCCACTATTCTACTTCCCATTCCGAGTCTCATTTTGCCGAAGCGGACTCTTTCATCCCTGAAAGATGGCTGGAAAGCAGAGACAGACGCTTCGAGTCGGACAGTCGGATAGCAGTTCAACCATTCTCACTTGGGCCCCGTAACTGTCTTGGAAGAAAGTGTTTTTTTTTTTTTCGATATCTTCGGGGATCGGTCTAATCGTAAATATCCACAGCCTTGCCTATGCAGAAATGCGTCTGATTGCGGCCAAGGTCTTCTGGAGCTTTGACATGGTCATGGACGAGAGTTCAACCGCTTGGAATATTCAGGAAGCTTACAATATCTGGGAACGCAAGCCATTGATGGTTAACCTGTCGCTGGCACAACATTGAAAGTGTTGCAAAATTAACCATTTTTTGCATTTCGTCTAGTGCAACTGGGCGCTGCGGATTGCTATCCAAGGTACATATAGAATCGCTCGCCACATTCATGACATGAGAAGAGGAACAATTGACTAGCATCCCATTATCTGCCAATAAACAAGACCCTCAATATTGTATGTGCGTGTAATCCATATGAATGAATTGAATCATTGATTGGGATAATCACTTGAGAGCACTTGTCTCAGTTTATCTGCCTTTAGGGGAGCTGTGTATGTATATCTTGCCGAGAACTTTGTTGTACATGTATAAGATTGCCCTACAAAGATTAATCCTTGTTATTCTTATTATACACACATATATGTGTATAACTCTGGAACTGAGACATCAATCAACGTTGGAACTGCAGAACTGAGATTGAGACATCCGGGCATGAGCCAAGGTTGCACATTTGAACGCAAGGCTTGGATATGACCTCTTTTTAATAATCTAGCCAGAGAACCCCAGACATGAAAATACACAGCGTGAAGCTTAAGTGAGTTGACCATTAGGTTTATCAGTCTTTCCCGGTGATGCCGGATCTGTGGTAAGTGGAGATATCTAGATCCAACGACATGCAGACTTGACAAGGGCCTAGTTCTTGTATCGCCATCCAAAATCAAAAAGAACACACAGAAGTAAGGTATAACTTAAAGACAAACTAGCCCGCTCGGATAGCAAATTCGAATATAAAGGTTGCTTCTCATCCAGCAGTTAATCCACTCCTCACCATTGACCATTCCAAACAATAGCAATCAACAACAGGAATGTCTAGTTTTGTTAATCTTCTTGCACTTGTGCCTTTGGCACTAGCTGCCACCCCGATCATGATGGTCCCTAATCAGGTAAGGTTATGGCGTGTGTTTACAACTGATCAATCTGTTTACTCTTTATCTAGGTCATGATTTTCAAAGAAAACGACTTTGCAATGAATGCCGGCCGAAAAGGGATGTCTATCACGTCCGATGGAAATTGCCTGAATTTCGACAACATGCCGGAGTAGTAAGTTGAATATTCTTCGCATACCCATGAAGTTTTGTTGACCAAAGTATCAGCCGCATGAATGTTGGATCAATCTATGTCCCATGCCCGTCAGAGGTCAAGCAAGACATAATGTGCTCATTCTACTCGTAAGTAAATGACGTCTAACTACAAGGGCCTAGTACTAAATCATCTAGCGACAATTCTTGTAACAACGAGCTGTTCACTTTTACCCGACCCCATGCGAATTTAGTCCGACAGGATGTTGGTGATGGTGTTGGCAGACATATTAGAAGCATGAAATGCGCGGCGGTCCATTCTCCTGCCGACAGACGGGGTCATATCTTCTCAAGTGATCATGCGTCCACCAAGAGTCCAAGCAGCTGCCCCAATGACAGCTGTTCCAGTGAACAGAACTGTCAATCAACCCACCCGGACTATGGCATGTACTGCTCTTCTAGCCTCAAAACCTGCCAGATAACTTCTGTAGTTGGCGCCCTTTGCAGGGAAGACAGACAGTGTGTCAACAGTCATTGCCAGAGTGGAAAGTGTATGGCTGCCGCAGAGAACCTGCGTTGTCTGCAGGGCTCTGAGTGTCCCTCTGGCCTGCGATGTCGTCCTACTCGTGTTCTCAACTTGCTTGGAGGTTCCAATGTTGAAATGATCTGCATGAAAGATGAGGATGTTCGCGGTACACAGTGCTCTGCTGAAAAGCCTTGCCCAGCGCATATGTCGTGCAGTCTTCAGCATGAGACTAACGCGTACTGTGAGTGGGACGGTACCTGTGGACTGAATAATATGAGTTGTATGTCGGGCAGTCAATGCTGCTCTGGGGTTTGCAATGCCAATTTATGCCAGTGATAGTCTTTGTGGAGGATGTCAAGCTTGGAGGAAAGGTATTTAAATTGAAATAGCCCTGGAGGAACTGGATACTAGCTGGTAACGCGCAAGTTAGCTGAGAGTAATTGAGAGTTTAATGGCAATGGGGAAGTTTCTCTCTGACCGTGCTTCGAAGTTAGACCTTTCTCTTGTGTTTTTCAACACGTTCGAAGAGACTACCACACGGATGCTCATAGAGACCTCAACTTATCCATTTGATCAGAGGTACAGAGTGAGAATGTTTGTCAAATCGTAGCTCATCGTTATGGAGCAAACTTGTTTGAAATTGTTTCCTAGTCCTTTCGGGGACACAACCGCTGAATTCTTTCCAACGCATCCTCTCGAATCCCATGGACAATATCTTCAGCATTTTTCACGTCATGTATCAGTCCAACGGAGGCTCCTGCATATGTTGCAAGTCTCCCCTCGGGCCCCCAGCCCTTATCGCCCGTCTTAACAGCTTCATCATGAAGCCTTTTCAGTTCCTCAAACGATTTCCCTTCCTGCTGCTCAACAAATGATTTGTTCAAGATAGTCCGGGGACTATATTCCTCTGGCCACCCAAAAGTGCCTCTGAGTTGATTATACAGTAGCGTACGCGTGGTTGAGACTGCACCATCGGCCGCACGTACAACCTCGTCCTGGTAACCACGGCTAATGCGTGCTTCACTGGCAGCCAAGAATCGAGTCCCCATCGTCACACCTGAAGCACCAAGACACATAGCCGCTGCAACACCGCGCCCATCTGCGATTCCGCCTGCCGCAAACAAAGGAATTTGGCTGCCTGCCATAGCATCTGCCACTTCGGGAAACAGCGCCATAAGCCCCATTCCATCCTTCGCCCGACCGTGGCCACCAGATTCAGCCCCTTGCACAACAACAACATCTGGTAGCTCGAGGTTCCGAAGAAGCTCCTTTGCTTCTTTCACAGTGCCAATTTGAATCCAGATTTGAGTGCCAGGGGATGCTTGGCGGATCTTGCTAGACCAGTCGTCGTATTCCTTGGGTCCCTGGCGTGGGGCGTATAGCCAGGCTGCACATGGTTTATGTTTCTTGATAGCATCGACAGCAACATTGATGTCATCAGCCCAGAGCTGGTATCCTATGCCGACAGGTAGTGTCGAGCCAGGAGTCGGTATTGTGCTGGCCCCTTGGCGTATGAGCGATGATGCTTTCTCAAGATCGTCACTTGTGTCCTGAGTTTTGGCACCGGGACCAATGAACCCTAGTCCACCGCTGCGAGAGACGGCTACTGCCAGTGCTGGACCAGACATTACTTTCATGGGGGCGCTGACCACAAATGGACTAGATACCCATGGGTATCGCGATAGCAAGCTTGCTGCCATGGTTTTGGCGCTCGAGATAGTTGGCAAATATTTGGAAAATGTCGCAATAAGATTAGCGGTAAGGACCATGTGACAAGATGCATGGGAAGAAGTTCAACGTTTGTTTGAATGATGTTTGGAGTTGCCGAGGCATCGTCGACGTCACAACAATCCGCACCTCCGCAATATCCGCATTGCTTGCTACTATACGGAGGACAGTGTACCCAAATAACAAAACTCTTAGATCGGTTTTTTTTACTATTCTACCTAATTATTCTAACCTCCGTGTCTTCAATTAGAATCATTTCCACTATTGGATTGGATAGGTTTCTATAACTTCATTGGGATAAGCCGATGGTATGCCCTTGTCGACACCTCCAGAGACAGCCAATTAGCTGAATATGCTATTGCACTAACTTCCGCACAACGCTTTGGGAAAATACGGAAAGAGATGCCTGAGGGAAAGTAGTTGGTTAACTAGATAACAAGAATATGATGCCTGAAACCTCAGAACCTTGGAAGGCCTCAGGCATTACAGGAGAGACCCGCAATACCCACTGACCTTCCCACTCATATCCTCCGCAATATCCTGCCTATCCTTAATCCTCGGAAATTGCGGGATATCTACAGGAACTACTTATTGTTCTAAGATATGTCGCAATCCGACTTGAAACGAAAACGAGCCCGAATTGCATGTGAACCATGCCGGGAGCGCAAAAGAAAATGCGACGGCGTCGAGCCTTGTAGTACTTGCCGTCAATGGGGCTACAATTGCCACTACGAACATCAGACACGACGGAAGCATCATGCTCCCCAACAAGAGCCCCCAAGAGACATTCCCCCAACGCCAAAGCCTCCACAGCAGATTGACTCAGTGGATACGCATGGACTGGATCGTCGATTGTGGGCAAACTCCGGCGCTGCATTTGTTCGGAGGATGGGCCTGAATATCGATCCTGCTAAAGCACCAAAACTCAGCCTCTTTGGTTGGAATATTGGAAAGCGACAACTGTCATCTGAGTCTCAGATTGTCCATCCTGTGCTGTCAATCACGGATATCACATCCCTTGAACACATGAAGACCCTCGCTCAGATCTACTTTGCCAAGATTGGTCCATGCTATGGATTTATTGACTCTTCTCAATTTTTTGAGCGACTGGATGCTAGGTGGAAGTCTCCCATGGTTAGTGGTCTATATGACAGTGTTCTCGGTGGCGTCGCTGCACTAGGTTGTTTGTTTTCCCAACGAAACATGACAATCACCGAATTACATCTCGTCGGATCCACACTTTCTATTCTCGACACGCACGTTCTGTGTGGTGTTCCTCCGGTGGACCTTCTCACTGGGTGGATGTTACGAGTCATCTATATGCGGATGACAGATCTGCCCCACTCAACATGGATGGCGAGTTCGAAGTTGATGCATCTAGTGGAAGCTGCGGGATTTCACCTAGAGTCCACCGATTCAGTCTTTCCACGCAGTATTGACACAGAGTTTGATCCAAACCCCCAAAGACGACTCTTCGGCGTGGCACTACATCTTAATTTGTGGACTTCCTATGATCTCGGCTTATCAAGAGTAACCTTCCAAAAGAATGATTTGCCATTGCTTCCATCAACCATCGAGGGTGATTACACAGATGAGTTGCTGGGACTTCTTCCATTATCGGCAAGCCTAGACCCAGGAAAGCCAACCGAAGATGAGATGAAACTCGAAGAAACGCTTGCCCAGATCCTAAAAAGAGTTCATAATGAGCCTCCCTCGGCCATGGCGCAATGCAATCTTGTACTTTGCATTCTGCGCAGAATCCACACACAGAACCTTGAAATATCCCCTCGCCTCGCAGAAAAAGGCTTAGCGTTGCTAAAAAAGGGACTTGGTTGCTCACGCACTATGGTCAGAGACTGCAGCCCCTGGCAACACATGGCAAACGTACCTTTCCACATCATTTGTGTCTTGCTAGTTATGGATACACGGCAATCATTAGCGATGCTTCCCGAAGCAATGCAGACATTGAAGCTCGTTGCATCCACTTATGATACAAACACCATGAGAGAAGCCTGGAGTGCTGCCCTCTTGCTAGTTATGCTTCATCAACAGCGAAGGAAAGATGACCTTGCGATTTTCAATGACATAATGAACATGGAAGAACAAGAAAGTCCAGCTGGACGAACCCTGCAAGAATTCCCAAGCGCCGAAGAGTATTCATGGCTAGGGGCTTTGGTCTCTGATCTGCCTGGTTTGCAAAGGGATGACCTTGATCAATTTCTGAATGCGGATATGATTGATACTTCAAGTTTCTTGGGTGGATCTGGATGAGGTAACCCTTACCTAGAGGCGCCTATGTTCCTCGGTGTTCGTTTAATTATCTTGTGATTTAGCTTTCCTTTTGGCTTTTAAACTGAAAACGAGGAGGATGTTACAAAGCCTTGCGGAAATAGCGGGTGCCGTGCGATGTCTAGTAAAAAATATCCGTTCCGCAATACCCGCTTGCTCACATTGGAAGTCCACTTAGGTTCCGCAAAGCTGTTTGTAAAAAAGATTTACAGATTCGCTACATATTAGTTTCAATGTCTCAATATTCCACCGTAATACAAGCTCTGCCTGAATTCGGCACTCTGGACATCAAACCATATACCTCATTGACAAAACGTGTCTGCTTGTCGCTACTATCAAGTTCATGATGCATGAGAAGCTGTCGATTGGGGCGAGCAACGCACTTTCGACTTCTCTTTCCAACTCAGCAAGCTACGTTGACTTCGAAGGCAGAGATGACCCCGAGTATCCTCAGAATTGGAAATTGTCAACGAAGTAAGCTAGAAGTCCAAATCAGCCAAGTATCTAGGTATCCGGGATACAAACTGACCACACTTTCCACAGACTTTTCAACTCTATCCTAGTCTGTTCAGGGACATTCATTGTCTCGTTAACAAGCGCCATATTCGCACCGGGAATTGACGAAGCAAGTAAGGTTTTCGGGGTCGGGTCAGAAGTCGGAACACTGGGAACAACCCTCTACGTCCTTGGCTTTGCATCAGGACCCCTAATCTGGGCACCTGCATCAGAGCTACGGGGGAGAAAATGGCCTCTGACAATTGGAATGTTAGGCGGTGGACTCTTCACTATTGCATCGGCAGTGGCCAAGAATATCCAGACCTTGACCATATGCCGTTTCTTCGCTGGCATGTTTGGCGCAAGCCAACTGACTGTCGTGCCCGGTGTATTAGCCGATCTATACAACAACACCACTCGCGGTGCTGCAATTTCACTATATGCTCTGACTGTTTTCGTGGGACCGTTCATGGCTCCTTTTGTGGGTGGCTTCATTGCGTCGAGTTATCTTGGCTGGCGGTGGACTCTTTACATCCCGGCAATTTTCAGCCTGGGAAATGGAGTACTGAGTGTTTTCTTCTTGGATGAGACATATCCGCCTTGTATTCTTGTGGTCAAGGCTGCTGCTATCCGCAAAGAGTCCCAAAATTCGGGTATTCTTGCCAGACACGAGGAGATCGAGGTCAACATCGCAGGTCTCGCGGAGAAATACTTCACACGTCCATTGAAGTTGCTCTTCACGGAGCCTATTATTCTCGTGGTGTCGGTTTACATGTCCTTCATTTACGGGCTTGTTTATGCGCTGCTTGAGGCATATCCTTTCGTTTTCGAGCATGTATACGGAATGACTCCTGCTTTTGCTGGTCTAATGTTCATTGGCCTCATCATCGGCGTGGTGCTCGCGTGTGGGTTTATTCTTTTCGGGCAGCTTGCCTATGCAAGGAAACTGGCAGAGAATAAGGGCGTCCCAGTGCCGGAGTGGCGCCTTGCTCCAACACTCCTAGGAGCGCCTGTGTTTACAGTGGGCCTCTTTTGGTGGGTATAATGATTTTGGATTCGAATGTACGAAATATGCTAACTGAAAATCCATCAGGTTTGGCTGGACCGGGTTCAGCCCTCAGATTCACTGGGTTGTACCTGCCGCAGCTGGGATATTCATAGGATTTGGGGTGCTATGCATCTTTCTTCCGTGCTTCAACTATATCGTCGATGCATACTTACCAATGTAAGTTCTCGGCCTCTCTACTCGAGAAATCATCTCACTCTGCTAACGTACCTGTTAGCGCTGCTTCGGCTGTTGCTGCCAATATCATCCTTCGATCGGCAGTAGCTGCAGGATTTCCGCTATTTTCAAGGCAAATGTTCCAAAATATGGGGATTCAATGGGCTGGCACGTTGCTTGGCTGTTTAGCCGCAATAATGGTCCCTATTCCGATCATATTCAGGGCTTATGGACCTTGGCTACGAGGAAAAAGCAAAGTATTTCCATGAAAGTGTCATAAACTAGATTGGATGGAATGACTCTGTGAGTACTCTACATGTTAGAGAGTGAGCCACAGCTACTGCATGGGCCATAAGCAATGTAGAATACAACTCTGATATTAAATAAACCCAATCGCTTGACTTCAAAAGTTGTAAGCCTATACATAAACTCCCTGTTTCTCCATCCCCGCTTATTCAGGGTTATTATCAATCAAACTGTCCACAGCCCATCCATTGAGCATAGTGTAGTCGGAATACGGCGAGGTGCCATGCAGTGTCTCATAGTGCTTGCGAGGTCCACATTCTCTCAACTTGGCAGAATTTGGGTTGACGCACCGGTGCTGCATGATAGCCGCGATTTGTCGGCCCGCGTCCAGTCCTTCATAGTAAGCACCGTGAAGGAAGCCAAAGAAGGTCGGGCTGGTAGCCTCGCCGGCAAACCAGAGCCGGCCAGCGTTGGCACGGAGGTTCTGATGCATCTCCAGAGATGTGGCTGGAGGCCAGTTGGAGTAGCTGCCGTAGGCCCAGGGCTCTGAGGTCCAGCGTGGGTACATAAATGCAGTTGGCTCGGGGATATCCGTCTCCGGGAACATCTTGCGCAGAACTTCCATTGCTTCCTTCTTGGTCTGCTCGTCTGTTTGGCGCTCGACTCGATAAGCAAGCTCATTGGTCACAGTTACAAAGATGATGTTGGAATCCGGGAGGAATCCGGGAGTGGATAGTGACTGCCAGACCGGGTACCAGCCACGGGTTACAGGATCGGCGTAGAGGTGATATTGTGTTTCGGAAGGCCAGAAGGTCTCGTTGAACTGGAAGAAGATCTTGGTGTACGTTCCCATGGTGAACTTCTGAATAGCTTCCTGCTTCCAGTCTGGGAGTGCTGGAGAAAAGTTGACAGCGCCATTTTGCAGAACTCCCAATGAGAATGTAGTAATAGCGTAATCTGCATCTACACAGCTGCCATCTTTGTTATGAACTGTGACACCATGGTCCGAATACGTGATGTTTGTGACCTCGGTGTTCAAGTGAAGGCGAGGGTCATTGTCAGTAAGGAAAGTCGATGCAAGCTTCTTGACAAGGAAGTTTAATCCACGCTGGTCAATAACGAAGTTGTCGTGGTCGCTGAAATAATTGAAGGTCAAGTTGTCGCCCGCACAGCCGAAGACAAATGAGCTCTCTATTGGGGAATAAGCAGCTTCAAAGTCTAGTCTATATGTTAGTTGATCCCATTGGGTGCATTTGCAAGACAGATAACTTACCCCACGACCACCAGTCAACAGCCTGTGCTTCCATGTCATGTGGCTTAGGGTTCCAACCAGCTATGGCGAAGCCTGACTTGGCGTTTTGATCCTGAAGATTCTGGGTAAGAATCTCACCTGCCCTCTGGTTGGCAATATCATAGGCCTCATCAAAGGCGCTGAGTAGATGGCTATAGTCAGAATAGCCATCCTTATTGTAGGTAGATATGTTGTCATAATTTGAGAATTCAGTGTTCAGTCCGTATTTTTGAGCCTGATCGAGGTCAGTCTGTGTTCGATCGATGATATCTTGAGACTTACCAAGAGCCAAATGGGGTTCTGCGGGCCTCCTTCGCTTCCAATGCCTTGCACCTGTTTAACCTGTCAGCAGAGTCCTTTCGTCCTTTCATGCGGCTGAGACATACCCAGTTGGCACCCATCTCAATATTATAAGGCTTCCCATCTTTGTCTTTTCCAAACGGCTTATGCCAAGCCCGACCGCCGATGGTATCGCGGTACTCGAGAATCATGAAATCATGCACGGAAGCATTCGTCAGGGCTTGCTATCTAAACTGTCAATGACATTCAGTTAAACAAAGGGGGAAACCCACAGCAGCAGTAATCCCAGCCACACCACCTCCCCTATACTTTGTGAGCTTTGAAATCAAATAAGAATTCCAGTGCTTACAAGATCGCAACTTTAGTCTTCTCGCATGTTCCCTCAGTCCGAACCTGGTGAGGCGCACTGATAACAGGCTGGATAGCGCCTGCTATCGCCAAAAGTGAAAGGTAATGCATGGTGAGCCTCTGAAGATCGAAAAGGGGAACAATTACAATAAATAATCATACCTCGAAGGCTGTAGATAAGAGTCCGAGAGATCTACAAAAGGCCATGTAACCCCGACAAACCTCGGTCTTTCCGCAATCAGGCAAGTACACGCGGGAAGCCAAGTGAAGCTAAGTGAAGCATATAATTTAAATCAAAGTACCGGAGAGGCATGTACTCCCGTATCTGTGGGGATACCTCTTCTCCTTTTTCTTTTTCTTTTTCTAATCTCTTATTACGTTTGGAATTCTAAATTAGATTGATATTCGGATATACTGTCTAACCGTAGTTGAGAAGTAATCTATACATAACGTCTAGGGGTATCCGTTACCCTATCATCCAATCTACTCATGTCGAATCTTGTCGGAGGCTTCCGCTGAAAGTGTGCACAGGCAGATAACTATCTTCGATTAACTAGTTCTGGTACTAGAGCCTCCGCAGTCATACGCACTTCGTGTGGCTTTCAAGCCGTGTTGGAAGCATTGCCGAACATGCGATTGTCAAGGATTCTTGGAATAAGCTGTAACAAAAACCATTGGTTCCAAGGTCTCGCTAATTCTCACTCCGATTTGAGATACATGCAAGCTCCGGAGGTCGTTGGCAACTAGAGTTCGCACTATCGTTGCTGGGGTTATTACACCAATAACTAATAGCTGTTCAGTCAGGCAATAAACAGTAATCGTGGTTCTAGCATTTCCTCAACTCCGTGCGGACAAAGGTACGAATTTGGGTGGTAAATAGGCCCGCCATCCCAGTTCCTACAAGAACACTCGGACTACAGAAGACAGGACAAATAGCAACATAGTCTGACCTATACATGTAATGTAGCCCAAGACTTATTTTCTTTCAAAATAACAGTCCGGATAATCGGACCATTTGAAAAAATAGAGCTCATTAATCACGAAAAGAGTGGTCGAAGTAGCGATAGTGACTCCAAAGGCAATCACTCTGAGATCAGCTGTCAGGCCGTGTTGTTGAACGGTCTGTAGCAACACCAAAGTCCCAATTGAAATCCCTAGCAAGGACATATTAGATCCAAGATATTGTGCAAGTAGGCTCCAGATATTACCACTAGAAGTGCTATGGAGGACCCAAGATTATAGGTTGATATGAGCCAAAGTCCTACATCCGATCTTTGGAAGACCTTAATTTCTTTGCCGTCACTTCAATTGGGTCTCTTCATCGACTAGCACTATCACCGTCTCACCTATCATTGCAGCCGCTACAAACATTGTGCTTACCCGTCCTTCCTCTTAATCTTTGCTATAATCAATTGTGTGACCTAGAATTTCAGTACGGAGTACTTGGAATAACATGTCCGTCTTCGAGCAAAGGCAAAATCTCGTAATATTTCAGGGACAGACATGTTGGGATTCGCAGTATTAGCAGCTTGGGGAAATTACAGTGAGATGGTAGCTCGATAGGATCAGAGAAAATCAAATCATGACGTCTTACTGATCACACCCCTGTACAAAGTACTATGTACTAGGCATGCAGAAAGGCTGAAAAGTTCACGAGGTATTATATCATATCCATCGCAACACCATCCAATAGGAGGATGCGGCTAAAGGTGAGTCCTTGCCTTAAAATTGCCAACATTTTGCCTGAAATACAGGAATCGTTAGTTATACATATTTTATATGTGGCCTGTGTGACTCGTCACTATCCAGGACCTACATGCATATCATTGCATATTACTGGGTTGTGGGTCTCACCAAGGCTGTATTTATCAACTGGTATCTTTTCGATTCTGCCCCAGCCTTGCAGCCCAAATGTATGCAGTAGACAAGGAAACGCCATTGGATGATCAGTTTTCATCCAATGCCACAGTTAGAGCAGTAGAGTAACATTGCAGCAGTTTCCAAGGTTGGGTTTCGGGATTCCCGCTCAGGCAGTCATCTTAGTGTTGATAGACCTATGCTAGGCGCTGGTGATCTACAAGTTACCCCTAGGCCCCCTTCACGGTACGTGAGGTCAAGAGATTTGCTTGTACTTCATGCAGCGAATAACCTTGTCAAGGCTGCTATGCAAATAGAAAACCCCTGGTTAGCTGTCTCACAGTGATGGCAATTTGCTTTTTCGGCAGATTCATTGAGAGATGATTGGTCAAGTTTCCTGATGTCTAGTTTGGATTTGACATGGATAAACACTTTCGAGCTCTTGAGATACCTCAATTGCCGTTTCAATGAGATCGCAATTTAGTTTTGATCTGAAATATATCAAGATAATACATGAATAAAGTAGGAATAGCGGAATAATTTGCGGGAGCCGTTGGGATAAGTGGAACTTCCTCATTTCTGGGATCCATGACGGCCAAAAAGAAAATAATTTTGTCCATAGATACAGAAATATGAGAACAAAAAGGTAAAATGTGACCTAGTCATGATCTCAGGAAAAAGGCAGGATGATTGCAGCATTTTGATAGCCACAGACTTGGATATAAAATGCATAGAAAACCAAGCGAACCGAATAAGAAGAACACCACCGAGCTATGCAAAGGGCCGTGCCAGATGCCATCTGACGTTTTTCCGAACGCCAAATCAAGACACCAGAGGTTCAGATGGAGGGGACCAGAAGATTATTCTGGGCCAAAAGCAAAGATAAGAAGAAAAGAATATGCACATAATAATTCCTTTCAGCGGAAGGCGTAAGAAGGCCGGACCATTTTCGGTACTTCTGGGTTTAGAGAGAGTTGCTGGTAAGGCGAGCTTCCTGGGTCATAGTACAGGCCCTCGATGTGTCCGTCCTCGCGGCGGAGAGAGATATAGTAGAATCCGGAGATTGTTAGACCTTGACGAGCATCGGTTGGGGTGACGAAGCATCGTTCTATGGCATGTTAGCACAAAGAACATACATAGTAGAAGGATATATGATCTTCCGTTACTTACCCTTCCATCTCATCAAGATCCATCCCTTGGACAGTTCTTCGGTAATCCACTTCCGACTTACAAGGTTTTGGGCCATCTCGGCATCTGTCAAATCCTTAAATGGTTGCAGTTCACGCCAGTATGTGCTATCGATTCCCGCATCTGCTTTGAAGTTTTTCGTCTCGAGCGTGTGATTGTTGAAATCGATAATCTCACCCTCCAAGAAAGTCACAATATGTGCATCGTGGGTGGGCGAGGTCTTATCGGGGATGTTGTAGGCCTCCATGGTGCCGGATAAAGTCATGTCGTCCTGGTTGATCTGGTGTATCGTGACTTTGACAGGCCAATTTTCATCGCGGTTATTGGCTAAGTATCGGCGGCCACTTGTGGTAGAAACGCTGACTCGGGTGGTATCACTTCCATTTACAATGACAGGCTCACTGGGGGCATGCGGACTGGTAACGCGTTGCGGCAATACTGAGCACCCGGCGCTGGCAGCTCGTTGGCAGCCCGAGAATGCCATTCCAGATCGAAGCCATGAGCACGCCGCAGGCGGTGCGATGTTGGGGGTGTATAGAATGAAGTCTGTATCTCTCCAGGCTTTGTTATCCATCGAGATGGGTAGCCGACTGTCTGCCACGGCAAGCATACTCTCTTCAAGGGAGTCTGAATACCGAACGCGATCGAGATAGTGTATGGTTTCACCCAGTAGATTGGTCAGATAGACATCTGAGTGTAGTTGGCGATGAGCGGTAGCACGAGCGCGTAAGTCATTGTGGGTAAGGTTGGTATGATGTGAGCCCCCGCGCGACGAAGGACGATATCGGTATCCCCGAGATGCGACTGCGATCGTATTTTCGGCATCCTCCGCTGGGGCAGTATCTGAGTAGCGATCGATAATGTAGTTCTCCAATGTGCGACTTCGAGCAAGCCGGGGCTGACGTCTTGCGGATTGTAACAACGCCGCTACTGCGGAGACTGATGTCCGAGCCCGGTTGCTACCTGGTAATGTCTCATACTCATCGGGTATCAGTTGCGCGGGGCCCGGGACCTCATTTCGCGGAGGTCGCGCGGGGGGTGTATCACGACTTGAGATGGAATGGAGGAAGGGCTGCATCTGATCATCTTCTGACTCTTCGCGCATAACACCATCCTCATCATCAGATCCGGGCGCCCATCCATACAACGATCTTGAGTTGGGCATTCGTCCCTCGTAATTCGGCATATCGGTTGATCTCTCCTGGCGGCGGACAATCGGGATGCGACGGTTGAGTTCAACGGACGTACGCGGGTTGGTGGAATCATCCACCTCCATGCGGTCCTCGTTTTGCGGTGGCAGATTAGTCGGATAACGACGGCGACGCTGTCGGCTCAAGGAGGGTAGTAGCGGATTGAAGAGAGCTGGTCGCGATCGTAGGAAATTCACGTTGTCATCGTGGGCGTTATCGGTCTCCACAGGGGTGGGAATCGATCGGCGCGGAGGGTCAGGTGCCGTCGGAGAGTGTGGCGTGCCGTCCTAAAGGATATTAAGGATATTAATTCACATATTGTAGATGGGATTGTGATGAAACATACGTTAGGAGGCGGCATTCTGATCGGAATGCGCCGTCGAGGAGTGTGCGGGATCGACGTCCATGCAAGGCCAAGAAATCAAAATATGTAACAAACAAAATCAAGTCTGGGGAAAATGGCCACAAATTGCCAGCAAGTGTTGGGTTCTGATGTGGAGAGGCCAACATATGACGTTCTTCCTTTCAGCCGAGCCTGAGAACGTCCAATTTCATAGGGATTCCACCTGGATTTCTTTCTTATTATTAATCGTTTTATGCATATATCCCTGAAACAAAACGTGGAGCCCCCCCTGTAAAACACTACAAGATGCTGACTGCATCTAAAAAGCGATCTATAAATGCCATAAAAAAAAGCCATTTATATAAAGAACAACTATGAAGCTTCCATCGAGCTTATCATACTCCAGGTGAGTAGAACCCGAATCTCCATATCGGAATTCATCCTTAACCCCTTTTCTCAACTGCGTGAATAAAAGCTCTTCTCATGAGTTAGTGAGTAGGCATTTGCTGTTACTCCCACAAACCAGTTGGATTTGAGACTCTTACGCACCATTGAGGATCGGGCTGATTTAGGTACTTTGAAACCCCTATGAAATAAAAGTCCACGCTTATACATGAAAGTTTGTACCGGTTGTGTGTTGCATAAAGCCATTTATCAACAATGCATATGGTTGGTACTAAGTACAAAAGGAATAATTTTCTAGGAAGTATAACTTGGAACTATTTAAACATGCCATAAATCCCATCCTATGCCACTAAGGTATCCCTCTAATCAATGCAGCCGTATGTTAAATATCTAGACCACAGTCTAAAGTAACCAAAACTCTTGAAAGGTTCACAGATCGTCCAAATAGATCACAAATCAGACCTTGCGTGCAACATTGCAGTCATCGGCTAGCTGGACACATTGTAGGATTATGTTCCAGAAAGCATCTAGATCAACGCCCCTGGGAATAGCAACGCCCGGACCATCAACAGGAGTAGCGATCGAGCGCCCCAGTTGACCTGTTATGGATACATCTTTCCCGTGCTGCCCGTCCGTGACAATACTCACAGCAAAACGCTCGCCGCCTTTGTCATCAAAAGCAAGAGCTTGATCGGGGTGCTTTTTAGCAAAAGCTGGATTCAGCGTCGACAAGATCACGGCCACGGCAATGGGGTCATGCAGTGGAGGCCCAGTGGTCAATCCAAAAGCTTTCTCGTATGTGGCAGCGAAGAAAGTGAGTAGCGCATGCAATATCTGCCGAAGGGTAGTGGGCTCCTCAGTCGAGTGGATCGAGCCATGCAAGATACGTGTTTGAATGGCTTGTGAGGCTAAGACCTGATGTGTGAGATCCAAACCGATCATAGTTGTTTTGGATGCAAGAACCGGGTTGCTGAAGATTGACTCTGAAGACTCCGGGTCACACTATACCATCGTGATTAGATGAGCCAGCGAGGGATAAAAAACTGGGAAACGTACATAAATGTTGAACTCAGCCCATGGGGTCACATTTCCAATCCTCGACTTCTCGCCTGCGAGTCTGCTCATTGGAGCATCGGTGAATCCTCCACCGATGGCACCGCCCATAATGCTCAGCCCTTGGATGTGTTCAACCACCTCGGGGAATGTTGCAAACAACAAGGCAACGTTAGTCAAGGTACCCGTTGCAATTACCCAGGGAGTCCCTTTGGGCTGTGCAAGAAGAGCATCTCTCATGGCCAAAATGGCGTTCTTATCGGTGATAGGTGGCCTAGTGGCCTTGGGAAGAAGGTCGGTCCCATCAAGACCAGATTCGCCTAGAAAGTGTTATTAAACCATTTCGCTCATATTGCGAGGACTCCTTACCGTGAATATCGGGCGCGTGAAGAGCAGGCCGTGAGAATGGTTTATTGCTGCCAGGATAGACAGGAATGTCGGGTTTGCCGATCGCCTCCAGAACGCTACCGGTATTGGCCGTTGTCTTCTCTAACGACGCATTTCCATGGATAGTACTGATTCCAAGCAGCTCCAAAGATGGATGATGAGCAGCGATCAGGATCGCAAAGGCATCCTATATTGTATTAACAAATGTCTCTCTAGAATACATATGTACCTCTAGAGGCTTACGTCGTGGCCTAAGAGCAACGGATCAGTAATATGAAGGCGAGAGGAACATGGTAGACTGACCAGGATCGCAATCCAACCATAAGGGAGTAGGTCTATCTTGGTCAACTTGGTCTAACATAGTGTGTATCTCAAACAAATAAATACAATTGAGAGTCAAGGGGCCACTTGGACACTTAAGTACATTTGGCCATCTAACAGATCCCCGCATCAATGGAGCGCGATAAGGGCTATCTCGAAGCCCTAAGCCCTAAGATCCAAATTGGGCCAGGTACATATCATCAACGCTTCCAAGGTTGATTCGTCCTGCTGTTAACAGAGAACGCTTCCTTGATAGATATTGAACCAAATTCCAAACTCTATGAGATGAAATGAATGATCCGCTCCGCCCCGGCCTTCAGCCGATATCTCATCTCAAGGCTGGGCCGACAACCTCCAGCTCCAGATCCACCGCGCTGCCTTCCGCGACGACGCTTCAACCTCCTTCGCGTCCTTCCTCTCGACTCCGTACACAAAGAGATTCCGGAAAGGATGATCCAGACTACTTTAGTGACAAAGCTACCACTGCCCTGATTCGACGCGTCCTGTGCCCCCAAACGAGCAACCACGGAGCAACTTCCCCACAGCCTCCGGAAGAGCTGTTACCTCCCCTCACGAGCTCCAATGACGTCGATCGTCAACTCTACGCTCTTCTCGCCATCATAATAAAAGAATTTGTGTACTCGTGGTACTCGAAGATTACACCTGATCAGGCTCTTGTGAATGAAGTTTTACAAGTAATCGCGCATTGCACGCGTGCACTTGAGCAGAGGCTGCGCCAAATCGACGTTGCACAATTAGCCTTGGATGAGATCCCTGGCCTGGTGGAAGCACATGTACTCTGTGAGACTTGACCATTCTAAAGTTCTTCTTGCCGGAATCCATGGCGGTTCCGCGGAGAGGGGCAACATTGCTGACTATATGATCCAGCGTACAGACAGGCCAGGCAACAGTCACACCTTTCTGGCCTACCGACGTCGTACCGTGCGCTCTATCATGAGCTAAATCCACACCCCGGTCTTTCTCCAGTGCCTGATCCAGGAGATCCAGATACGATCGCCGAGCAAAGCGAGAACGAAGCAGTCTATCGACGACTACTCGCCAACGGCATTCTAGCGGTTCTTCTTCCAACGGAGGACCTCGAAAACAGCAGTCTTCGGGCGCTAGTGGTTGATGTTATAGCAGATCTGATCCTGGGAAACCAGGTCAGTGGCAGGGCATGCGAAGGATGGTTCATTTGGGAAACTATAGGCAAACTCGCCGCTCAAGTGGGACGCCGTCAAACCCAAGATGAGACCAAATCCTCCCGGGACTCTCAAAACAACCGATTAGAAAAATTTGGCTTGCTTTCAACCGAGAACGAACTCCCAGACCCATCGACGTCATTCTCGGCCACTTGGATATGGAACCTTCTGCAGAAGATTTATCTTGGTTACGTCGTCTTGCGTTTTATTACAGTGGGTTTATTTCGTGTCGCATCGAGTCCGGCCCCCTCTTCGCACGGTGTCGGTGTTTCACATGCCTTGCCCATTAACCAGAAAAGATATGAGATGGGGTGGTCCGATGGCACCAGTAGACGCCCGGTTCTCGACTACCGGATTTATTCCATGGTTTCGCAGATACTGGGAATCCCATGGAGAATGCCATGGCTGAGTGGGTTGCTCGCCCTATTCCAACACCTTGTTTTGGCAGGCCCAGGCAGGGTCGGTGCCACCGATGGAGTCTTTGATAGGTGAGTTTTCGTTCTTTTTTTAATCTGTCTTCTTCTCTGCAACCCCCTCAACGCCCCAACCCTCCTTCTCGCTCAGGCCTTGGGAAATCAATACTCGACTGTGGAGCAACGGTACGATCTCCGAAACACGATCTACGGGTCAAGTATCACTTGTGCGAGTTAGGGTGGGACATGAAGCGTCTTCCAAGGTTGCTCGCATGCCGCGTCGGTCACTTGACCTGTAACCTCTTGGAGGGCTGCAATACCCGGAGAGATTACGGTTATCTTACGACCGTACGATGTCTTCTTACTGTACGGTCATTACCGTCCGTCTTACTGTGCTGTTCTGGCATGAGATTGGTTGCCCTCAAATTGGTCCGAGCGACCTTCATTTTTTCGAACAGGGATGACCGTGTCTGCCCGCGGATGCCCCGTCTCTGCTTTGAAGTGATAGCGTCGGGGCCCGGCCCTTTCCGTGCCGCTCCACTCTGCGAATCTAAAGATTTCAACATGTGCCAAATTTTCAAAGGACTTGATTAGGCCCAAAAGAACCAAGAAATGAGAACATCTGGGCGATCGAACTCTCCTTGGCAAGAAGGGTGCTAAATCTTGTGCACGAGCAAAAGAGAGAGAAAAGAAACTGCCGATCACCCCATCGGTGGAGGTGAAAGCCATACATACCTCTTTTGGCTTAAAAAGAAAAAAGAAATATGAAAAACGGCCGAGTGAATTACTGATTTCGGTCCAATGAGCGAAATTCCTGCCGGGAAGGGTTGGAATTCGTAATCTGACCGGGGGTTGTGCATGAAGCCCCAGGTACGGGATGTTACCTGAAGAGGTTTTTTCTCTCTTTGTGATATTCCCCTGTGGCCCAAGCTCCTTCATGCCTCTAGACGGTCAATTTGTTATATGCTTGGACATTTTTTTATTAAATGTGCGCGGGAAAAAAAAAGGCACAACGTCCCGGAGCTCCACAGTCGAGATTATTGCTTCACTCTTTAATTTTTTATTATTTTTTTTCTTTGCCCAATTGCCCAATTGCCCCGACGTCATAATTTGAGACTTTTTGCTAACTTCCACAGATTCCTCCAGGAAACCATTGAGGAGTACGTGCTGACCCCCACTTTGTTGCCCAACCTTCTTCTTGCGACAAGGACCGCCTTGTTCCCGGCCAATACCCGTCCAACATCTCAAATAGCGGCCGGGCATATTGAAGCTCCGGCCTCGGCTCTGCAGTCTGTGCAGACCCCGACACCCAGTCAGAAAGCCCTCGCGCCGGCCTCACTTAATACTCCTATTACGGAAGGAGTCACGGGCTCTGATACGACTGATATCATTAGTAAAACTAATAATTCGGGGAACAGCAGCAACAGCGGCAATACTGGTGCCTCAACAGCCACCTCAGGTCACCCACTTTCTGCCATCGCAGCCGATGATCCAACACCAAAGTTAAATCAGTCGGCCGAACCGGTAAAACGGAACAGCCCCTCTAGGACGGAGATCGCCGCTATCAAGCGACGATGTGCAGCTAGTCTCCTGGCCTTGATTCCGCGCTCCGTCGCACGAACTTTTCTTGGTGTTCCCCCATCGGCGCCTCCGCTCTACAGCAGTGATGGTACCTGCAGCTCCAGCAGTTCGCCCTCTCCCGTCACCTCCCCACCCCCTTCCCCCGGTGCGCACCATGGAGCTTTCCAGGAGGGGAAGGCAAATCTGGCGTCATCGCATTCGCCTTTGCCTTCGGACCCCTGTCCAGCTACGTGTGGTCACCTTGCCGCTGAGCGGCTGCGCACAGACGATAATCTATATGCGGGGATTGATTGCGAGGAACTGCATCTCCTGGATATAATCGAACATGATTTTCTAGACCTCTTTGCAGATGAATACTGCAATAAACATCTAGTCTGGAGTATTATCGAGAAAGTGCTGGTCAAGGTTCTCCCTGAAATGGCTGAGCGCAGTGTTGAAGATTTATTGGAGGATCGTGGAGTGGCGTCAGTGCCGCCTGCTTTTGTATAAACTACATATTGCTTGCGTCGGCTTTTTTTTATTATCACCAGACTTAATTAATGAGATATGCCTTACTTATGACTAGCATAAGTTCCAAACTTAAAAAAATAGTGTGATTGTCGAAAGATATCGGGGTATAATAATAGGCAATACTAATCTGACATAGTTCATATATAGGTGAACCCAATGAAAATTATGTTCTTTCCGCGTGAGCAGCCCAGTTTTAAAAAAAATCCAAGGGAAAAATTAATATGAAAGGAGTGTAAGGGAAAAAAAAAAAGAGATGCAGTACAAGGGGGTGAGGGATATAACAAACCAACAGCAAGAAAAGAAAACAAGTAAAAAAAAGCAAAAAACCCGAAGAAGAAAGCAAGCGGCAAAACTCCCAAGTCCAAGGCCGATGATCCCAATTCCATATACCATCACATATTGCCATGTGCCCATTATTCCATATGCATCCAACTCGTCCAGACTGGGAATCCCAGGGCGTATGCGCCTATTCCCAAATCCGTAACCCCAAGAGTTCCCAAGAAAGTAGAGGTCGCCCTCTGGATATGTGTATGTTTTTTGTTTGGTTGCCCAGTTTTTTTATATCTCGTTGCCATTGCTGGCTAGAGAGATAGGAAATGGATATAAAGAAAGGTTCGTACAGGTGATACCAAAAAAAAGAACAGAATAACACATGAACCACCGAATGAAGGAAAGGAAGAAGAGAATGGAGAGTCACAAATCACAAATCACGTTGAAGCAGATAATGTTGGGGAGGAGGGGGGGGGAGAGCTTCAAGAATAAACAAGCGATGCAAAAAAAGGGGGAGGGGAATAAATGCAAAAAAAGAAAGGGAAGGGAAGATCATGCAAAATGCAACTGAGTTGTTCAAGACTCATCCCAAGTTGTGGATGCTCCTCTTCTTCGTCACACGCGGGATAGGAATATCCTCATGCTCGTCAATTCTCGGCAAGCCACCCAACAGAAACCCAGCCTGGCTCTTGGCAAGCTCAAGTCTTTCCATTAGCTTTCCGATGGTCATGTACTCCTGTGCGGCGAGGCCGGCCGGCTGATGATCGAAGTAGTTGATGACGAGTTCCAGGGCGCGACGAGCCTCGTCCTGCGTCGGTGATCCCGGAGAGCTGATTGGCGAGATGGTAGTAGACTTTGAAGGCGGCGGCATGGACTGGGTCTTGATTTCCGGGTTGCTGCGATTGCGCTTGATGACGTTTGTTTGGTGGATCGGACACATGGTGGCCTTTGGGTCGTCCATTTCCACTGGTGATTCCAAGATGGAGACCGAAAGAGATTGCTGGAGTTCGCGCTTTTGGCGCTGCGGGTCCATCATTTCGTCGGCGGATAGGAGTGTTGGATCGATGGGGACGAGCGGAAAGGTCTGGCTGCGTGGTCGGTTATGGTTGCTGTTGGCAGTTGGGAGACGAGATTGACTTGTTGGCGTGAAAGGACTCTCAGAGACTAGAGTGGATGTCGGGCTGACCATACCCGCCGAAGTGTCGATCGAGGTTGTACTCTTGGAATATCCGTGTCGGTAACCCCCTGTCAGATCAGGTAGTTCGGCCATGTCCCGTTTGAATCCTTCTTGGCTTGTGGGAGACAAGGGGGATCCGAAGCCATCCACTGGAGAGGTGGGCGAGGGTCCGCTGGGACTTTGAAGAGCAGATCCAAAGTCTGTGTTGAGGTGGGTTGGGCTGTTTGATCCGCTGCGAATTTCGGTAGATCCTCTGCGCACCTTTGCGCCGAGCAGATTGTTCTTATGCTTGAATTTTTCTAGCCAGGCCGTGGTACAGACCTTTTCCTTGCCTTCGGGGCAGCCGCAGGTGCTGGCGAAGAAGAGTGCCTTCTCTTTGATCATTTCGTCGCTCAGGGGATATCCCTGGCGCTGGTAGTTCCTTGCCCAGTTGGATAGAGCTTTCTCAATATCGGGGACTCTGCCTTTGGCACGTTTGATGGGAGATCGGCTCCCGTCTTCGGGGTTTAGGTACTTGTCCTTCTGGCGAAGGACTTTGGAAACAGTGCTATTACATGTTAGATTGAATGGAATAAAACGAGGTTGCAAATGATACCTTCTCTCAACTCCAAACAGCGCTGCATAGAAAATCAGCCTAGTCCCCTCGACACAGAAATACGTATATTGCTTACCTCCGATATCAGTCTGCTTCGCCGTCTTGTTTTCCTCGTGATATATACACATTTGTCGGCGGTCATCGTCGGTAAGTGTCCTGCGCGGCGTAGAGCCTCCAGTCGAGGTCTTTCGCACTGGAGGCATGGGAGCCGAAGGCGATACGGAGGTCGGGGTGGAAACCGGTAGCGCAGACGCAGCAAACGGCGAGTTTGTTGTGAGCATGCTGGGCCAAGAATGCGAAGGCATGGGTAGCGGCATAGTGGCATAGGGTGGCGGTATTGACATGCCATACGAGTCCACGGCCATAAGCTGCGGCTGACCGTAGTCAAACCCACTATATTCTGGCATGGGAGGCGAGTGCTGGGGAGAAGTAAATGTGCTCATTTCCACCCATGGTGAATGTGGGTATTCACTCTCTGCATGATGAGTCTCCGTTTCCATGGTGGGCTCCTCCATGGACAATGGATCTCACGGACAATGGAGGTAGCTTTTCTTGGTGGGGGGGGGGGGGGGGGTTTGGCGTGATAGGCTCGAGGAAATCAAAGAAAGAGAGACAAAAAGAAATCCCGGGGAACAAGGAAACAATCTAAGGGTAAGACAATAAAAGCTGACGCATGTTCCACTGCTTCTGTAGACCTGTATAAAATAACCCAGAGAGTAATGTCCCGTAGCTAAACTACCTAGGGCAAAGTAGGTATAAAGTATACAATATGCAAGAAGGTAGAGAAGAGCATGCGGGTAAGGCAATGGGGTTAAAAGGAAAATCAGTAGGACGATCAGTATCGCGTGGATTTGACAGAATGACTATGAATCTCGATTGCAACTGGCACGAGAAAGACTACTGTCCGGAGAAATCCAGATAACCTTCCCCCGAGGAGTTATCCAGCCGACCTGGTTGGTGATTGGTTAATACAGTAAAAAAAGTCTAGAAGTGAAAAATCCATAAAAAACCAAGAAATTCAAAATTGGAATAAGAGTAATCAATTTTAATATGAAATTTCAAAATGATCCCTGTAATAGAGGGGGGAACGGCCTTTGGTTGGTTGAATGCGCGATATATTGCGGCAGGGGTTGCATCTCGTCAGGCCCAATTCGTTTTGCGTATTACAATGTAAAGGTATGGAAATCTTCGTTCTCAGGGCTAACGCGGTATATTCTGATTAGGGACTTTTGGCGATTTTTGTCTTTTTTCTTTTTTCTTTTTTTTTTTTTACCTACCGTATGACCTTCCAGGATGGTCCGAGTAGGTTGTATACTGGCAATATAACCTGGGTATGCAATATAGATCCAACATAGCGTCCAATGTAAGTAACCTAGAGAAAATTCGATGCAACGGCGTGACCGTTCAGTGTTTTCGAAACTTTGACCAATGTTTGACGAGATGTATAGTCCTTCACGAGTATTGTCGCCGTGCTTTGACGAGGCTGATAGTCCCTAAAAATCAGGATCAAATCAGGGTTGATCATGCGTGAGAGAAGAAAGAAGTTCGTTCAAAGCGCAGCCCAGTTCTTTGATTTGCTCAGAACCGGGTAGCGGATCGATAAACCGCTGAACCTAAAGCCCGCATAACACCCATGCACATAGCAGGCGAAGACGGCGATCAGGCTGGACCGGGAAGAGGATAGCGGCAGACAGATTATCGACTAACCTCCCGTGGGAAAGAGCCTTCATTGGAGACATCTTCATTTGGATCGAAAAGCAAACCATTGAATCAAACACTCAACATCCAGATTCCGCCTCCCATAGGATGTATTTCGGGGCACGGTGCACGTTGTGGAGGTGAAGAAACCGGGTCCGAGAGATTTTGAACACAAATCATAAGACAGAGACCGAGAGGAAGAGAAAGCAAATCCTTACGGAATAGATTGAAGTCCCTAGGAAATATTACCAAATTGGGGGTGAGATGGCCATCCTAATAGAAGTTCATACCGCATCAGACATCCACGAGAGATGACACGGCTAAAAATCAGCAAATGAGGAGCAGCAAGGATCTTTGGATGAATCTGCCGTCTCCGTTGCCCTTTGATACGAGGTCCGATACAAGGGCCGAACAGAAGGTTAGAGAGTTATCCTATCACAGAGCGTAAAAGGCATCTGGAAAGAGGGGGATATTCTGGACGCTAAACCTTGGAAGCTCAGCCCTCGTCTTTCTCCACTACGACCCACTGCGGTCCCCTCCGGCCCGGGAACCTTCAAACATTTTGCATGCAGTTTAGGGAGTAGGGAGAATAGGTAAGGACTTAAACTATAGTAGAGGACGGAGTAATGGAAGATATCATAGAAAATATCCCCGGGTTCTACATATATACTCTATACAACGGGTCTCTTTGGGATATGTCTAGTTGAATACCCATACATCCAACACCCCGCTTGTTCGACTCAAACCACGAGGGAGCCGAGTGTAAAACCCGCCTGCTTTACTGAAAGAATTTCTCAGGAATCTATCTGGACAAAGTATCAAAAATCAAAAAGAAAACAAAGGTATTAGGTCTGACAAATCATCCCCACTGCAGGACAGGGCTTTGAATTTGTTGTGATTCGTATGTTCGTATGTTGGCTGATTTAGTCGCAGTACCAATCACTATGCTTGCTGCCGTTATATTATTTTTTGCTTTCCGCCAGTTAAATCAATGGGGGAACAAAAAAAGAAATGCGTGACGAAATTTAATTTTTTTTAATTTTAGTACAGTTTTAAATTAAATTCGCTAAGTGTTTAGGGGTGAAAATCGGGGTAGATTCACGCCATTGGAGATTTCCATCTTTTTTAGGGCAAAGCCTTGCTTTTTCACTTCGGAGAAGGAGCAGGAACAAGTCTAGACCGGTCAAGATCAAAATTTACGGGCCAAGTATATTTGTATATTTGCTTCTTTCAATTTGGACCGTTCTTGGCTTTCAAAGAGAAATTTCCTGTTAGGGTAACTGTAAGGGTGTTACTCTCGAATTCAGGTACCGATTGACCTGCAATTTTAATTCTGCCCGAGGTATCTCCGGATACTTGAATTATGCAGAATTAATAGACTTGTAGGAAAAAAAGGGGGGGGGGGGGGGGGGGGCAATAAACACTACTCCTTTAGAGTAAAACACTATCTACTCTGTACTCCATACAGAGTGCTCCCGTACCTCGAAGACTAAGAAGAACACAGTCAGAATGCTTACTCCGGGGAAGAGCATGGCTCATGCAATGCAATGCGACGGGGATGACGGATGGATCCTCCACGAGAGAACAAAATGTACAACGTACGTTAAAGGTATGCGGGCGATCGGTGCCCTCATAGTCACCTGATGAAGTATACAAGAAATAACATATTACCTCAATACGTACGCCGATCTTGCATCTGAGAACGGACCAGATCGTGAACAGCCCCCTTTCTCATTTTCACTAAATCGGCGATTTGCGGGAGATTCTCCACCTAGAATGGTCTCCGCAGAGGTTCATGAGAGTAGCGTACCAGACAAGAACTCCCCTATTGGGCAAATAATAATGGACTCCGTACAAACATTGAAATATACCATATGTACCGAGTGCATGAGAATTGATCAGATAAATGCAACCCGACTCTCATTCACCGCTTGTTTTATTAAAATCTCCAGTACCTTGCCTCACTTTTTGCTTTTTTCTGGTTGGTTGAAATAATTTGCTTTGCATGTCAATCCTGTGCGTGTGCAGATCTGTACTTTTTTTTTCTCTCTTTTCCTCTCAAATTTCGGTAAGTAGTGTAAGTAGTTGCAGGCCCGAAGCCAAGAGATTAGAAAGCTAAGGAAAACGTGCTAGTCAGTTGACAGATCCATTTTGATCTCTCCCCTATCATTCTGTATAGTTATTGTAGTAAATATAGTAATAATAGCCCACTTCGGGCCTATCGGAAGCTGGACTGGTAATGCCGGGTTTTATTAACCATGTAATGGCTACCCAAAATCCGTGGCTTTCGAATATTATACGCGACCCCATCATGATCACCGTTAAGCTATTAGCAGTAGGTCAATGCGTTGAGTCGCGGCCCTTCTCTGCACCGGAGTATGGAGTACGGAGTATGCACACCATAATTACCTTTCCGGTCCTTCCGTCGAAGCTATCGAGTTCGTTTTTTACTCCCGGAGCTTTCGAGCTGACAGCTCGAAGTGCTGTGATCGGCGCAAACAGAGAGGCCTAGGCCTTTTATAGTCTGATTCGTCAGCCTCAAAAGTAAAAATGGGGGGTAAAAAAAGCAATGCGAACAAAGAAATCAAGCCACCGGCGAAAATCCTATAAACATTAGAATGACTGGCAAGGATGCTGTGCAGGACGGGAAGTAATGGCAAGGGGAACATGCCAATCGGAATGTCATCGAAATAAATTGGCCATGCAGGCGTCCTTGGATCTGTACATAGGGTCTATACTAATTCGTATGTACACGGAATACAGGGCGATAAGGAGTCGCATGATGCTGCATTAATTTTCACTGAAGTAATACGAATTGACCGGGGGGCTGATTTGGTCTGACATGATATAATCTTTGTTATGTGGAAAAGGCCACAAATTGCCCTTTTTTCCCAGGTTGGAATCGTAGGAACGAACAGACGGTTAATAATAGCTTTTATTTCTGAGACAATACGAGAATGCCATAATGATCTGAACTTTTGCGGACGCTGATGGACAAATAACCTCAATCATAAAAAAAAAGGGTAATCATAACAATATGGACTGGTTCAAGGGCCACAAACTACACATGTACCAAAGGTGCCAAGAATATCAGAAAGACCCATAGACCCATGGCTTTTCACCTCGTGCGTACCCCTGGGCTTGTGTGACCCTTGAAGCCTAACTCGAGTTCATGGAATCAAGCTATACCTTGAGACCAAAGATCAGCAGTGCTGTGCATGACTGATTTTGAATGCCAAAAGGTAGACTCAAGACATCCTCCCCCTAATTATGTTGCCGTGAACGAGTCTATCCAACCACGCTCGGATCCGGTGGCGTCTTACGGATGTCCTAGAAACCTGTCAGATCGCGGAGGCGCAAAGACAGGCTGGCACAGACCACCCCAGCGCTTGGATCATCTCGCCGCTTCGGGCTATGAGGGTCAAGGAGTTGGCATAAATCCTTTACCGCTTGACGATCGACACTGTAGCTGGTCAGCTTTGAAATTCATGTTTCGTTTTGTTCGGTGGAATTACCGATATCTTCATCGCCAAGCTCGTGCGAAAGACCAACTCGCTGCGGCTGGTGCTTCACTGAGCGACCATACACAATGGCGTGCTTGAAATCGTCCTTGATTGTGCGGTGAATAGCGTCACACTGTGTCGTTAGTATAATTCTTAAGAAGAAAGAGGGCAATGCTTACGAAATTTTCGACTGTGCATGCGTAGGAGCGCAGCACGACAGGTGCCGAATAGTCGGGCGCTCTGCCCTTGGGTTTAGTGTAGATTCTGCGCAGCTTGAGCTTCTCCCACATCATCTCCATCAACTCGTCGACGTT